GGGAGAGGGAGAAGCAGGCTTCCCATGGAGCAGGGAGCCCCATGTGGAGCTCGATCCCAGGACCCTGGGATCATGACCTGAGCCAAAGGCAGACGCTTAACGACTGAGCCACCCAGGCGCCCCATCCGTGGCTTCTTTGATGTTCCTCAAAAAAGGAAGGCAAGCTCCTGCTCAGGAGCTTTGCTTTGCTGTCTTTTCAACCTGGAAAGCTTGTGCCACACACTTTGTTTGCTCCTCCAGATTCACACTCTGCACTTCTCCATGTTGCTCTATGCCCTGGGAGGCTGCCAAGCATAACCTCAGACAGGATTCCATGTCCTCTGGTGTCTGGGCAGGTTTAGCCAAGAGGGAGCCCAAGTGGGAGGGAGGTGAATGAAGTCAGGATATTTTTATGCAGCCTTGCTGGAAGGGTCGTCTTGAGTTAGTTTTGTCTCTCAACTGAAGGTCATGGCCCACTATATAACTTTCTTCCTCTGGTACCACAGTGACTGTTCCTCCCCTCCGCCCTTCAGGCCTAGGGACAGTAAGAGTTCAGCTGCCTCTAAGCCCCAGGTTACTGCACTAATCCTTGTGGTTTCCTCAATACCCACACTTTATATATCACTCCTTCAATTAACCTTTATCAAGTGCATCTACTTTCTGTCGATACTTGGAGTGATACAATACCATTCTCCCAAATGTCCTCAGGGCTCACTTCCTCATTTCTTTTTTTTTTTTTTTAGATTTTATTTATTTATTTGAGAGAGAGAGAATGAAAGACAGAGAGCAGGAGAGGGAGGAGGGTCAGAGGGAGAAGCAGACTCCCTCCTCAGCAGGGAGCCCGATGCGGGACTTGATCCCGGGACTCCAGGATCATGACCTGAGCCGAAGGCAGTCGCTTAACCGACTGAGCCACCCAGGCACCCCACTTCCTCATTTCTTTCAAGTCTTTGTTAAAATGGCACCTTAGAGGGGCACCTGGGTGGCTCAGTCCGTTAAGCATCTGCCTTCGGCTCAGGTCATGATCCCAGGGATCGAACCCTGTGTTGGGCTCCCTGCTCAGCAGGGAGCCTGCTTCTCCCTCTCCCTCCCGCTCCCCTTGCTTGTGCTCTTTCTCTGTCAAATGAATAAAATCTTTCAAAAAAAAAAAAAAGAGCTTAGAAGGACCATCAACAACTGCTCTATACAGCAACCTGCCACCCTTCCTGTCCACTCTCTCCTTTACCTTGCTTTATTAGCTTTTATCACCACGTATTTATTTTTTTTATTGTCTCTCCATGTTTCCCCAAGGTAGAGCTGATAGTTATCTCATTACACATATTCTCCAGGTCTCTGAATTTCCAAGGATGACAACATAGCAAAGCTAAATAACCAAATTAATATGAGCCAACTCACCACCAACTCCATATAATCAAAGACTTTGTTTTGGTTCTGCAATATCTTCTGGTAGTCAGGCTTTGTATTAAGGACTTCACTCTGGGAAGATCCAAGATATGTTGCAGGTTCCACTTCAACTTCAGTAACTTTGGTTTCAGCTGATCCTCTGGAAGGAAAAAAAAAAAAGAACAAAAGAGCGTTCAAGGAATTTTTTTTAAAGAGTTTTTAATTATTTATTTATTTGAGAGAGAGAGAGAGAGCACAAGCAGAGGGGAGAGGGAAAAGCAGAATCCCCACTGAGCAGGGACCCTGATGCAGGGCTCAATCCTGGGACCCTGAGATCATGACCTGAGCCAAAGGCAGACGCTTAACAGACTGAGCCACCCAGGCGCCCCTCAAGGAATTTCTATAATCATTTTCTGGGGGAAGATATGTAAGACAACCTAGGGAAAAAAATCGCCAATAAGGCTTTATTAACCTGAACGAATATTCTTCCACTCTACTGTAGGCGTAGGCTTTCTTATTAACAAGGGGGTCTGAAATGATTATTCTAGTGTTAATATATTTATACCACTGGGCTCCAGGAAATGCTAGAACCTTCAGATCAGTTGACTCCACCTAACAGTAAGGTCCATTTACAAAAAGGACTATAGGTGGGGTATGGTAAAGCCAAAGCTTGCTTTCCTGAAATCCCTATCTATGATCTTTTCCAAAAAATGCTGGGCCACTTCAATTATCTGAAATAACTGAATATGATGGAGAGTTCATGAAAACTGAGGACTCTTTAACAACAACCACTCCCAAAATTTCCTGACTGCCAGACCCTGCTGAACACGTTCCATTTCACCTCATTTTACACTTACAACAACCCAATGAGGTAGGTACTAATATTATCCCCGTTTTCAAGAGGAACTTCAAGCTTAGAGATTAAGTAGCTTGCCCAAGATCACAAAATGAAGGAGTAATTAGTATTGTAACAGAGACATTCTGCTTCCAGAAGCATTCCTTTTAACCAATAAGCTATGCCACATCAAAAGTTCTTATTCTGAAACTTTGTTCTTACACTTTACCTATCTTCATAAACAGAACGTGTAAGGGGCAAATAAAGTAACTGGTAACCATCAGTGCCTGGACTGCGGTAGTTTTCAAACCATGTTCCTGAAAGCACCTCCTTACAAAGAGGCCACTTCTGCAGTTAGGGTTTTAGCTAACATTTTATATTTGGGTTTCTAGCTGAGATACCGTTGGGGAAAAAAAAGCTTAAAATCACTGGCTTAGATGGCACTCTAAATCAAAGTCTAGCACTTTCCCACTTTTTATGCCTTTAGGACCCAAAGATCCTCTCTCTCCTATACACCCTCTTTCATCACCCCCTTCCATGTTTTTGCATCTCCACGAAGGACCTGGCCAGGGTTCTCTCCCATACCTGCAGCTTGAAGGCCACGTGCAAACTGACGTGCCCTGACCAAGATTTTGGCCCAAGCCCGGGTGCCCTGGTACAGGGCAGAGATGGGCCTGTCTCCCCCCGGATGTGCAACAGCAGCCAAGGACAAAGAACTGAAGCAATTCTGTTCTTTGACTGAAAATAGTGACACCCACTCTCCCTCCCTTTCCCCCAACTCTCCATTTATAGTCCTAGAGTGCTAATACACATTTTATAGAGCTTTGATGAGGTGATTGGCCTATGAGAAAGGATTCATCTTTCAATTTGTGCTAACAGAACTGAAATCAATTCAAATCAAATTCCACAAGGTAAAAAGACAGCTTCCTATTTTCAATCATGGAGCTAACCTGGATATGATCTCTTCAGCCTCCTTCTGGTAGTACTGCAAGAGCTGATCCCAAGACTGACGTTCTAAAGAAAATCTATAGAATCAGGAAAAAAAATAATCAGTTACTTTTTGATCATCTCATTCTGAATCACTCAGGGCAACAATAAGTACATCAGGTGTCTACTCTGGTTCTAAGATGTGAAAAAAAGGTCATTAAAGGATCAGAAAGCCCAACTGATTCAGAGGATATGAATTTAATCAAATCAAACATGAGTTCTTAAAATCAAATTAACATCCTGATTCCCCAGACTCCATTCTATGAAACTGGCCATCAGTAAAGCCCACAAGATCCCAATAAGCAGCTTTCTAAATTCCAGTGTTGACACACTAGTACTGAGACTCTGAATGGAATGTTTACTATTAATTTTTTCCAGACCTAGTTATTTTCCCCAGATGAATTTAGATTTTCCAACAAAGGATCACTCATTTTCACTTACTTTGTTATGTATTCCTTCATTTCAGCCACTGATGTTTCCAGAGACAAATCTGATTCTTTTCTGGAATACAGATAAGACTGTAAGATCAATATAAATCTTTCAAAAGCACTTGCTTTTAATAGGATGCCTTACAAAATTTTAATGGCAGTAAAAGATATTCAGAATTCATCTTTCAACAAATATTTATTCTTGAACTCTATCTCACTTTTGCACTAGATAACAATTTCCTCAGTGGTCTCTTTATTTTCTATTTCTCTCATCAATTCCAATTCACCTATAGCCAGATTACCCTTCCCTAAAATATTCCTTAATTTTGTTTTCCTTGCCTAAAACTCTGCAACTCTCGACTGCATTCAGAATAAAAGTCAAAACTCTTCAACCTGGCACTTTAGGCTGTTTTGGCTCCATCCAGCTCATTAACTTTGATTCCAATTGTTTCCTCTCACCTATTCTGCCCCATATAATCTCATTCAGCCCGACCCTCAAACATCTGGAGCTTTCCATCTCCAAACTTTTGTTCACATCATTTTTTTTTAAAGATTTATTTATTTATTTGAGAGAGAGAGAGAGAAAGCATGAATGGAGGAAGGGACAGAAGGAGAGAATATCCAAGCAGACTCTCGCTAAGCATGGAGCCTGACTCGGGGCTTGATCTCATTAGCCATGAGATCAGGACCTGAGCAGAATCCAAGAGTCAGACGCTCAACCGACTGAGCTGCCCAGGTGCCCCTTGCTCACATTGTTTTTGTGTCTCTTCTGAGTCACCTTTTAAGGCCCAACAATACTTTTGTATGTGACATCTCTTCTTCCCACTCAAAATGATGTTATCAATGGACAGGGATTATGTTTATTTACACCAATGGCTTAGCTCAGTTGGGTGACTAATCCTGATGGAAAAGAAGCACTGAAAATGCCAAAATTCTGCAGATGTACTTGGTACTCTACCTGGCAAAGACAAGTTAGCTGTGCCACCTTTCATGTTTCTCCACCAAGGCCTGTGACACACAGCCTCTATCACCTGTGGCTGAGATGCAGCAGCTGGTGGCTTAAATACACTGCATTAAAAGAGATACTATGCTGAGCCAACATATTTTTCATTTCCTGGATAGTAATGTTAATTCTTTTTTTTTTTAAGATTTTATTTATTTATTTGACAGAGACACAGCGAGAGAGGGAACACAAGCAGAGGGGAGTGGGAGAGGGAGAAGCAGGATTCCTGCTGAGCAGGGAGCCCAATGTGGGGCTCGATCCCAGGACCCTGGGATCATGACCTGAGCCGAAGGCAGACGCTTAACAACTGAGCCACCCAGGCGCCCCAGCAATGTTAATTCTAACAATCTGTGGGAAAGTAAACCTTTGTGAAGTCAAAACTAAAAGGTTTTATGAGGTAGGCCCAAGTGACATGATTTGTTGCAAGGCAGAAGCTAGAGGGTAAGACCCTGCCCCTACAGAGGAACTACCAGTTTGGGGCTGGGATTTAAAAACTTCTCCTAATATTCTTGCTTACCAACAGCTGAAGAACATAAGTTTATCACCAACTTGCCTTGCTAGCAAATATCTGAACAATGCTTTTCCTCTCATCTTTCCATGGCTGGTTCCTTCCCACCACTCAGGTCTTAACAGGTCTTCTCTGTACACTAACTAAAGTTGTGTACACCCCCCCTCAAGTCACTATCATAGTTACTGACTTCTTAGATAATCACTACCTGAAATCCTTATTTCCTACGTATTTGATTGTCTCTCCTGTTTTTTTTTTTTTAAGATTTTATTTATTTATTTGAGAGAGAGAGAATGAGAGAGAGAAAGCACATGAGAGGGGGGAGGGTCAGAGGGAGAAGCAGACTCCCCGCCGAGCAGGGAGCCCGATGCGGGACTCGATCCCGGGACTCCAGGATCATGACCTGAGCCGAAGGCAGTCGCTTAACCAACTGAGCCACCCAGGCGCCCTGTCTCTCCTGTTAAAATACATAAGAAAGACCTTGCTTGAGGGGCGCCTGGGTGGCTCAGTCAAGCATCTGCCTTCGGCTCAGGTCATGATCCCAGGGTCCTGGGATTGAGCCCCGCATCAGGCCCCCTGCTCCGCGGGAAGCCTGTTTTCCCTCTCCCTCTGCCCCTGCTTGTGTTCCCTCTCTCGCTGTGTCTCTGTCAAATAAATAAAATCTTTAAAAAAAAAAAAAAAGAAAGACCTTGCTTGACTTATTTATCATTTTATGTCCAGCATCTAGAAGAGCCTGGTGTGTAGAAGATGCTGGATAAATGTTTGTTGAGTGAATAAGCAACTAATTATAATGAAAAGTCTTAATTCAATTATAATTTAGGACAGAAGGGGAACTGCACATACCCTTTTGAATCTTCAAAACATTTTTGTAGAGTTCCATTACTTTCCAGGCTCTCTGCAAAATGCTTCAATTCTTCAGAAAGAGAAGATGCTAGAGGGGGGAAAAAAAAAGTACATGTTATAAAATAAATAGAATATGAATTTCCACAGCAAGCTGCTGACAAAGATATACTCAAGGTGGTCTCAGCTCTAGGGTCCCCTGTTACATTTTGGCCCTCTCACCTATTCAAAGAAGTAGTATAAATATGCAGAAAGATTTTATCTTTGTTCTTTGGGTAGGTATAGATAAAACGGAAGACAACTCCTCTTTATGACATTTATGATAGTGTTTTTTATACTTGACTGGTGAAAACTAGTTAAAAGTTATATGTGCACTGACATTTCATTCTTTCAAGAAATTTCAACTGCTGGCACTGAAAGGAAGAACATATTACAGAAGTCAGGCAACAGGCAGGGGCGTAATGAAAAATGTTAAAGGAGAATAAAAAATTATGGGCATAAGGTAAAAACAGGTCTCTGCTTCGACTTGGAAGAATCTACAACTGCACTCAGGTGAGAAATGCAAAGGGGAAAGCAGATGTTAAAAAGTTATCGTATCTACTCTAATTATGGTGATGGTCCAATGCCGAGATAAACAACAGCCTGAGTTCATATATTTTCCAGGTCTTTTAAGTGGGTAACACTGAATATTTCTGACCCTGGATGATTGTGTAGTTATACTATAAAGAGCTACTTCCTAGGAAGTTGAAAATGGATTCCTAAGAATATTTGTAACTTATATCACAGATGAACAGCTAATTTCCTTAATGTATAAAGAGTTCCTACAAACTGATGTAAAAAAGCCAACATCCCAATTTTCAAAAACGAAAAAGGAGCCTTTCCGGCGGTGCCAAACTCCCCACAAGAACATCCCCTCTCAAAGGACCTCCTCCACCCATCCCAGAAGAGAAAAGGAAACACAAGAAGTGCCTGGCGCAGAGCCCTAACTCCTACTTCATGGATGTGAAGTGCCCAGGATGCTACAAAATCACCACCACCTTTAGCCATGCACAAACAGTAGTTTTGTGTGTTGGCTGTGCCACTGTCCTTTGCCAGCCTACGGGAGGAAAAGCAAGACTTACAGAAGGATACTCCTTCAGACAGAAGCAGTGCTAAAAGCACCCTCCATCAAGATGAGGGGCAAACTATCCCAATCAACACATTTTGGATTAAAAAAAAATGAACAAAGGATACAATCAAACAACACACAGAAAATGAAGTACAAGTGGCTCTAAAAAATATGAAAAAGTGCTTATCCTCTTTGAAAAAAAAAGGGAACACAGATTAAAGCTAGAAAATACTTCTTATCACCTATCAAATAGTAAAAAATCTGAGCTGCTTGGTAAAACTGTTATGAGTGTGAAAAAATAGGTACTTGCATATATTGCTGGTAGGAGAATAAACTGATAGAACCTTTCTGGAAGGCAATCTGGTAATTTCTCACATTTCATTTGATCTATGTAATTTCAATTCTAGAAATTTATCTTATTTTTACTTGTGTATGTGCCAAAAGACTTGTGTAAAAAGGTATTCATTACCCTATTCATTATAATAGCAAAAGACTGGAAACAACCCTGAAAGCCCACCAGTAAAGAACTGGTTAAATCATATATGGAACATTTATAAAATGAAATGTCATATGGCTACTAAAATGTCAAGACAGTTCTATATGTGCAATATGGAACAATGTGCAAGACAAACTGGTTTAAAAAAAAAAGACAAGGGGCGCCTGGGTGGCTCAGGCAGTTAAGTGTCTGCCCTTGGCTCAGGTCATGATCCCAGGGTACCAGGATTGAGCCCCACATCAGGCTCCCTGCTCAGCGGGAGAGTCTACTTCTCCCCTTCCCTCTGCCTCTAACCACTGCTTGTGCTCTCTCCCTTGCTCACTCTCTCTCTCTCTCTTAAACAAACAAACAAATAAGACAAGGGGTGCCAGGGGTGCCTGCGTGGTGTCTGACTCTTGGTTTCAACTCAGGTCATGATCTCATGGTCATGAGATAAGCCCCGCATCGGGCTCCTCACTCAGCACGGAGTCTGCCTGAGTTTCTCTCTCCCTCATCTTTTGCCCCTCCCCCCCCTCTAAAATTAGTAAATAAATCTTAAAAAAAAAAAAAAAGACAAGGTAAAAAACAGTGCAGAGTATATGTTCATTTGGTATTCATGTAAAAATGTTGGAAATGCAGTAAGATCTCTGTAATAATCAACCGGAAGCTGGTGGCTGTGGTGTCTGCTGCAGAGAGGAGTTGGACTGGCTTGGGGCAGGAGGCTGGCTTATGTCACACTTTTATACCTTCTGAATGTCATAAGCATATATTCTTACTTTTTTAAACACAACTCTAAAATATAGATGGGGGCTGGTTTTGTGAGGCAGCAGCTCCTATAAATGGAGGTCCTGAAAGTGGGGCTTCAACTGACCTAAACAGAAGGTAAAGCCAGAGGCCAAAGCTTGCTCCTCTATTCTTAGCAACTTACCTTTGGCTCTAAAACTTTCATGACTGAAGCCCTCAGTGTCCTTTAGGAAAGGTTCAAGTTTCTGAACAGAGAACTAAATAAAGGAAAGCATTTTTAGTACAACCAAGATTTTCCAGGCCAGTCCTGAGTTCATGTAATTTCATGATGTTTAATCAACATGAAAGTAAACATGATTTAATTTTTATGCCTAAGATTTTTCATATAAACAAATAAGTAGATCAGGAAAAATCTCTTTGCTCAGACTATACATTTTGATTTTTGGTTCAGAGAAACATGGTCATTTAATTAACACAAATGACTTATCTAAATTGATGTAAATCACCAGTTAGCCATATAATTTCTGCTCGGTATGTAGTCAGACCTTAAATGTCTGCTTTAACTTAGATATTGACCTTCACCCACTTTAAATTCCCATCATTTGCTGCCAATGGGCAAACTATACTAGACTGAGGAAATCTCTGTCAGGTGCTCAATTAGCACCAGCACCAGTGGGATTGGTAGGGAGACTAGTCCAGAGAGAAATCAGCTGCTGCTGGGATTAAATCTGGCTTTTAAATTAATCCCACCTAGACAGAAGCATCTTTTAATCTCAACTGATACATTACACAATACTGATCTCTTTTTGGGGCTGTCACAGTAACAGTTTAAAAAAAAAAAGAAAAAGAAAGCATTTCTCAATTCCGAGATTCTTACCTGGAAACTGGAAAGCAGGAGAGCGACAAGCCGTTTGCTTTCTGTTAAGTTGGCACTGATGGATCTGCTGAGCTCTAACATAAAATATCACCACATGTAAGGAACTAGATACTAATACAGTTAGCAAAGTAAAAAAAACTGAAAATTATCCTCCCTCCTGATGGGGTCTAACTTCAGGTAAGAACGCGTAGGCAGCCTTTTCTACTTAAAAGGAGAATTTATATAGAGTATATCTAATTTTTTTAGACTCACCAAAAAATGAAATTTACCTATTTATATGTACTAACTTTAAAATGTTATTAAGAAACCTTTTATGGATTACATTAAAATCTTGTCTGTTACGGGTGCCTAGATGGCTCAGTCAGTTGAGTGTTCAACTCTTGATTTTGGCTCAGGTCAGGATCTCAGAGTTGTGAGATCAAGTCTTGCAACTGGCTTCCCGCTCAGCCAGAAGTCTGCTTGAGTTTCCTCCCTCTGCCCCTGCCCCTGCCCCGGCTCATGTGCGAGCTCTCTCTCTCTCTTTCAAATAAATAATTAAATCCTTAAAAAAAATAGTAACATCAAAAATAATAAAAACAATGCAACTTTAAAAATCATTTAACTTGTTTCTGATGTTTTATTTTCAGCATTCAAGGAAAGGAGATGGGAACATTTGAGCATCTTTAGGACAGGCACTGCAGTGTGTTTTGTTTGTTTTTTTAAAGTAGGCTCCATGCCCAATGTGGGGTTTAAACTCAGGACCCTGAGACCCTGAGATCAAGAGTTCCATGCTTGGGGCGCCTGGGTGGCTCAGTTGGTTAAGCATCTGCCTTTGGCTCAGGTCAGGATCTCAGGGTCCTGGGATGGAGCCCCACGTAGGGCTCCCTGCCCAGCGGAGGGTCTGCCTCTCCCTCGTCCCCCCTGCTCATGCTCTGTTTCTCTTTCTCCCTCTTTCAAATAAATAAAATCTTATAAAAAAAAAAGTCACATGCCCTACCGAGTAAGTCAGCCAAGTGCTCCTGCAGTGTGCTTTAAATACACTGTCTTATAAATTATGAGCTCCATTTTACAGATGGGAAAACTGAAGCTCAGAGGGCAGATAACTTGCCAGAGGCCAGATATTCAATCCCAAATCTGCCACCAAAAAATGTGTATTTTCCCACTAAGAGCCATACTGCCTCTCTATAATGACCTAATAATGACATTAATAGTAATTTGTTGAACACTTGCTATATAAAAGGCATTTCATTAAATGCTATGCACACCTCATTAAAACCAAAGGCAAGTAGCTTATCAATTCCATTTTACAAAGGATGACACTGAGGCACAAAGGCTGGATGATAGGTAACTTGCCCAAGGTCACATGGTGAGTCCCCCTGAATTGGAGGGGTATTTTACATAATTATGCCACTGAATCCTCAAACGACTATAAGATGTACTGTTTTTTTTTAATTATGTCCATCTAAAAACATCAATTATTACACAGCAAAGAAAGTTTGCTCTGACAATTTGAGGTACATATATTTTTGTCCTCCAGCTTCAGCTGGCTGTGTTTTTAGTTCTTTTGCCTCCTCATTATTTCTCATTGCTGTTAGTATAGAAAAACAGGATACCTTCTGCCTCTAACCAAAGACACCTGGCAAGTAGCCAGGAATAACCAGGAGATAACCAATCTTATTACATCAGTGATTTTTTGTTATACAGAATTTTAGGTCCACAGGCCCTGGAACAGAGATAAAGGTAGGGGTAATCTTAGGGAATTGCTTGTTTTCTTGGCACACCTACAGAGTCAAGTGCATGAGCACAATTGTGGCAGCAATATGCTAAATGGCTATTTTTACCCAGATTTCCTTCTACACATCAGGCCATCTGGAAGTGAGCTAATATCTTTAAAATAATCACAATAGCTTAACATTGGAGCTATTTACTTACTATATGCCAAGAACTGTGTTCTATATCAATTCATTTAATTCTCACACAACCCTGTAAAATAGGTATTATTTCATCCCATTTACTGATAAGGCCTGTAAGGCAAAGGAGCTTAAGTAATCTGCTCAAGGTTACACAACTAGTAAGTTCTTCCTGAAATATGCTGGACTTTCCACATTAAATCTTGTACTTCATTGCTTACTGAGATGTAATTATTATTGTAAGTTCACACAAATCACATTCAAATACGGCATGTCTAAAACCTTAGTTTTCACCAAGATATTTTTACAGGCATCCTCCCTCCGAGATATTTTCAGTTATAAAGCCTATAAGCAGGTAGCAACCCATCCACCTTCTGTTTTACTTTAAGAAATAACAGAAAGCCATACAAAGAAATCTTTAATGCTTCTCATCCTAGCAGAGGTGAGAGTTGAACAATTGTAAACTAGAATTTTTGTTCATGGTGGAGATTACAACGGGCAGCTGTTAACATAATAGCAATCATATGGAACACTCACTAGGTGTTTGACATTAGTACTTAGGATCTTAGACTATCCCCCTTACAGATGAGGAAACTGAGGTTGACAGGGGTGACATGATTTGCTCAGTCACATAACAAGTAGCAGAGCCAAGTCATTCCTCCTCCATTCTTTCTGCCATACCTCACTGTCTCTTATCTGAGCTGGAACTCCTGTCTTACATACACAGCACCCCACCTGTGATGCCCTGATGAAAGGCAGGCAGTGACTTCCGCCGGCTCATTTCTTTCATACTTGCTCGCCGCCAAGATTGACTCTTGTCTTGACGATCGGGAGACTGTTCTTGGGGGTACAAATGAAGGGACCTGGACTGAAGTCCTTCCTGGCGGCCGAGATCACAACTTCCCCCTATTCTAGGGCTAGAGCCAAGGTGAATTCTTTCCTCTGAAACGCCTTGAGTCATCTCCAGGGAGGCAGGTGATTTGCTACACACTTCCACAGGGATGGGATCCGATTCCAGTGGATGATCATGAGTCTTAGTTGTCACTGGTTCCTCTTCTAGCACTTGTTATGAAAAAGTCAAAATACAAAATCAAACCCACCACAACCATGCATCTGAGCAAAAAGGTGGAAAAAGAAAATATATGCCCCAGATCATGGAAACAGTGAGGAAGCATCTCCGCAAATACGTAAATATGTGATTCCAAATCCACCAGAAGCCAGGAAAGCATTTGTGTATAGCTGGGAAATCTGAACCCAAGGCAAGAGGGCCTTAATTTTACTACAATACTTACTTTCTATCGTCTCCGATCTAATTACTGAAGTCATCCTGGATGAAAACCCTGAAAATAGGAAAACAAGGTGATCTGTTCTTCACATTTCAGCCTCAGTCTCGCTGGGGCTTTACTACCCCAGAAGAGACCTTGTGTTGTCCAGCCTTTCTGACCTGTTCATCTCTGCCCCATGAAATTCTACCTACCTGACAAGGCCCAGCCCAGTCCCACCTCATCCACCTCCTCCAGAGACTATCAGACTATCATTACCTCCTGTACTGAATTTCTACAGAACTCATCGTTAGAAATACTCATGTCTCACTTAACACGTACCTTCCTTTATTTCCCATTTAACTAGTCCCTCATATCCTAGATGGCATTATGATCTACATGGTCTTCCAAACTAGAAAAATCACATCATCCTTGGTGGCTCAGTTGGTTAAGCGACTGCCTTTGGCTCAGGTCATGATCCTGGAGTCCCAGGATCGAGTCCCACATCAGGCTCCCTGCTCAGCAGGGAGTCTGCTTCTCCCTCTGACCCTCCTCCCTCTCATGCTGTCTCTCTCTCATTGTCTCTCTCGCAAATAAATAAAATCTTAAAAAAAAAAAAAAAAAAGAGTCTGACACATCATCCTTTACTTCTTATGTTTAATCTCCACATCCAAAGTCCTGTCCTTCCTACCTCCAAAAGTCTCTGGAAAGCTTTTCTACACTTCCAGTTCTTAGTTTAGTATATGGGTCTCAGAACTTCCACCATCTGCCTCCCCCTCCCCAGCATAATCTTGCAGCCTCTCCACTAGTTTTCCAACATCCAGTACTGCTCCTCTCCAATCCATTCTTTAGACAGCAGCAGAGATTCTTCCAGTATATTCAACACCTTTCATTAACTAGTCCTAACTTACCCAACCCTGCTCTCTCCTGCAACCCCCATTCCCTGCATCACTTTTGAATCTCTACATACACACTGCCTGTAAGACTTACTCAGCCTTCCCAACCTAGCTCAAATGCCAAGCTTTCAAACCACTTCTCTAGGCAAAGTTGGTTGCTCCACCCCTTAGTCTTCCTAGCACTGTACAGTCTGTTTACAGGTCTGTCTCCCCAGCCAGACCGTATTTGTATCCCTAGTGGCTGTCACAGACAACTGACTGGAAGAAGGCAAGGAAGGACAAGACTGAGGCGTCTCTGCAAATTCCACGCTTACCCCTCCCTCCCAGCAAAAATCTGTATGAGGGGGAGGGACTCTAAATAAAGAAAAATGAATATATAGGGAGGGACAGCGTGGGAAAGGTAACAGAACAAGGGTGTACCCGGTAGGTCAAGGATCTAGATCCCCACAGTAGGGCTGTATCACAGATTCAAGCCTGGATAATAACAGCAACAAATATCATTTGTTAAGCTGCTTGTTAAGTGCTTATATGCCACGATCTGTGTATGTATGTACGCAGGCGTTTTATTTGCATCATTATCTCATTATCCCACTGAATCCTTTCCACAGCTCTGTAAATACTATCATTAATTCCTCCCCGCAGATAGGGTTCAGAGGGCCAAAAGCCCGGCCCACTGGGGACAGCCCGGGGGTGCGGATGCAGAGGTGGAATTCGAACCCAGGCCTGTGACCCACCCCCAGCCCTCAAACACCGTTCTGCACAGGCCCCGAGCGAGAGGCGCGGCCCGCCCTTGGGATTCCTCTCACCCGGACGAGGCCGCAGCCCTCCAGTTTCCCCAGTCCCCTCTGTCTGGGGGGCAGCGACCGGTCTGGGCTGGGCGGAGAGGTCCGACGCCAAGGAGGCTGGTGCGGAGATGAGCCGAACGGCGTCCACGGAGAGATCTGCGACTTCCTGACCTCGGGACGACGCCAGTCCAGCCCACAGCCTCCGTCTCGGAGATACAAGCCAGCAAATCACTCTCCGCGGCCAAGAGTCGCGCTTCGACGTCCCGCGCCACTGCGGCCGCTCCTCACGGGCCTGGGGCGCCGTCAGCTATCTGCGACACTAAGGCTGCCGCCACTTCTGAAAGACCCGCCAACTAAGGGCGCTTGCGCAGTTGGCAGTCTGCCGGATCCGTTCACGCATGCGCAGAACGCCGGCCTCCTTCGAGGCGCATGCGTAAACTTGTGTTCAACCTCTTGCCTTCCGCCCGCCCCAGCCCCCCTTGTCCAAGTCCTTGCTGGTCCCGACCCGGCCACGTAAACTATTTCCCCAGCTATGCGACGCCCGCGGAGTCCCCTCCTACGGATTCCACCTCATCTTGTCCTTTGCGCTGGACGCATTCAGAGCCCATTGAAGATGGGGAGGCAGAGTCCCAGAGAGGTACTTGCCAAGGAATATAGTGGATCACGGGGCATATGATGCCCTGCCGCGTCGTTAGGCCATGGTCCCCACCCCACGTTTATATTAACTGCAAAAACATGGGCCGTGTCTTTCCCAGGGCAGAATGGAGCTCTGTACTCCCTTTGTTTTATTCTGTCCCACTCCTGCTCTAGCACTTTCTCTCCTTCTGCGACCCCTTCAATATTGGCAAAGTTTAAGAACTCTCCTGTGCAGCCTTATTGCAGGCCACCCCCTCCCTAAACTGCTTGCAGCTCCTCTGCCCACCCCTGTTGCTTCTTCCCTCTGCTCCTTTGCTCAAGCCGTTCCCTTGGCCAGGGAAGCCCATTCCAGCTTTTTCCTGCAAAATTCTCCCAATATTAAGCCTCAGCTGAGGATTCATCTCAGACTCTTCTCTGAGGCTCCAGACTGAAAACTGTGTTCCCAGAAGCCCAGCCGTGTCTACTCCACAGCAGGCTGCTTCTTCAGCACCTAGCATGATGCCATGGAAATGTCCCCTTGCTTATGTGGTCCTTTCTTTCAGATCTGAAACCAAATGTTGAATTATTAGCAGTCCAGAAAGTCTGAAAGATGCGTCAGAGAGCAGCTGCTGGAACGTGACTGGTCATCCTTCCATAGCAGCTGCGGTCCTTGGAAAGGTTTTCATATGGGAGGTAGAAATCTGCCTTCCTGAAATTTTCCACTCTGTAGTTGCAGCCGGCTGGCTCTAATAGCCACCTGAAAGCAGAGATTTGCTTGGTTCCCAGAATATCACTTTCTGGGGCTCAGTGGTACCCAGTTCCTTCTATGCCTGCCCCCCTCTTTCAACTCCTTGTTTGTCAATGTCCCAAGAACAGAACACAATATTCCCAGCCAGGGCTGGTCATCCTGAGGCACAGTGAGAATATTGCTTCATGGATTCCAGACCCAGTACATCCTCTGTCCTTCCTCTGCTTTCAGTTCTCCCATGGCTTCCTATGGTCTACAGGACGTGGACATTCCTTCCCTCATAAGGCACTGCATGATCTGACCCAGGCTTTTTCATCACTCCTCACTCCAGTGACATCCTGTGGGCTCCCCATTTCTGCTCTGCTCTCTTTCTACTAGGCTTTGATACGTGCACTCCCTCACCCTGGAGCCACCTCCTGTCAGTCTCCTGCCCATAATATACCACTATCCCCTTCATTTATTCAACATCTCAACCTCAGGTGCCAGTTCAGATGTCCTGTGAAGTCTTCCAGTTCCTCCTGGCTCCCTGAACACCCTGGGTTCCCCCCTGCCATTGACATTTGCTTTCTTGTCTTCCAGACCTATCTATTGCATTCTCAATGCCTAGCACAAACTTAGTTGTTAGCCCCCCCACACACACACACCTCACCCCCAAATAAAAAAAGAGAGGGAGGGAGAGAGAGATGTAGATTTTTCATATGATAGCTTCCAAAATGGTCCCCAATAATCTCTGCTTCCTGGTGTTCATGCCCTGTGTGTTCCTCTTCCACACTGAGTAGAGCTGATCTGTATAACCAGTAAGATACTGCAGAAGTGACTGTGTGATTTTCAAAGTTTAGTCATAAAAGATGTTGTGACTTCTACCCTGCTTTCTTACAGATGACTTGCTCTAGGGCAAGCCAGCTGCCATGTTGTGAGGATACTCAAGCAGCACTATGGTCTATGTGGAGAGGAACTGAGGCCTCCTCCTGCCAACATTGACTTGCCAGGCATATGAGTGAGCCACCTTGCAAATGGATCTTCTAGCCCAAGTCAAGCCTTCACATGACTGCAGCCTGACTGATGTTTGACTGCAACCTCCTTGAGACACCTAGCTCAGTCAGAACTACCTAGCTCCCCTGCTTCTCCCTCTGCCCTCTTCCCTCTTGTGCTGTCTCTCATTCGCTCTCTCTCAAATAAATAAATAAAATCTTTAAAAAAAAAAAAAAAGAACTACCTAGCTCCCAAATTCCTGATTCACAGCACCTGTGATCTAATAAATGTTTTGGGCCAATTAATTATACTGTGATAAATAACTGACCCATGTCTAAAGTGTCCTTTTTCCCCATGATACATTTGTAAAAGTTTTTTTTTGTAGAAAATAACATTTTTGAACACTGCAGGTTTCTCAGTGGTCATATCACACTGACTCTGAGGTGTAAGGACTCAGTATCCGGAACCACCAGTGGCCTCTCCCAAGTGACCCCAAACTAGCCAGCTGACTGTGGCATTCCCAGGGCTCCCTCCTTCCCAAGCAACTGGGCTGTGTGTGTGTGTGGAGGGTGGGGTGGGTAAAGTCAGGTTTCAAATCTGATGGGGACCCCACCCACCCTGCAAGAGAAATCAGAGAGGAAGCCAAATCCATGGAAACTGTTCATATGACATACTTTATTTCCAATCTACAACCATTAAAAACCTTTTGTAAGTTTACACTGTACAGTTATTCTCATGTCTGAAATAAGACACGGGCAGGGAGAGCTGGAGGAGTGGGCCAGTTGTCCTAGCACCCAATCCATCTTGGGAAGGAGCCTTTTGAAGACGGAAGTGGGGAAGCGAGAACAGTGGACAGGAGAGGCAGACAGTTTGGCCCAAGGATGGCCTTGGTCCAAGGATGGCCTTGGTCCCTTCCCTCCCGAGGGCCTTTCCTTGGGAGTCCCCTAGGGCCCAGGACTGCAGGACCCTTACCAAGAAACCAGGCTGGGCAGGAAGGGGGGTGCTTCACAGTATTGGCAGGGGTTGGGGAGGGGGGGCCAAGATGAGAGGACAGTTTCTGGCTCTCTTCCTCAGCTGCTGGGGGTTGGAGCTGGTTTTTGACACTGTCTACTCGGTCTCCCTGGAGGTGGGGGGAGGAAGAGGAGGAGGAGCTAGGGACTTAGGAGTCTTTCCTTGAGGAGTTAGTTTTCTTACTACTTGAAGAGAGGTCATGAGCCTGTGGTGAGGTTTCCAAGGGATACATGGTCAGGGTCTTTATCTCCTGCCCGCCCCCTCTCCCCCAGGACTCCCACCTGCTGCCGGGCTAGCACAATCCTACACAGCCTTTTGAGAGCAGAACTGGAACCAAGCCAGAGGCAGGGAAAGGAAAACTGTAGCCTTTTCCCTGCCCTCCAGCTTCCAGGAAAAGGACATAGTTGTTTTTTTTGGCAGGGAGCGTTCCCAATCTCTCAGGCATCCAGATGAGGCTGGGATTTTCCAGTTGTTTCTGGTCTGGGCCAGCCTCAGTTCCTCACCAGCCGCACGGATTGCTACGTGGGTCAGCAGTTGGCCAAGTCCTGTTATGTGAGAATCACCTGGAGGGCTTGTTAAACCCCAGCTTGTTGGGCCCCACACCAGAATTTCTAATTCTGCAGGTCTTGGGTAGGGCCAGCACTCTGCATTTCTGTCAAGTTCCCAGGTGATGCTCCAGATGCTTTGAGAACCTCCAGGCACCTCATCCTCAGCAACTCGGTGTCCTGAGGCAGTGACAGGGAGCTGGGCCACAGCTGGCAAGGCCCAACCTTAGAGGCACCAAAATACCCGGGAAGCTGCTGGAAACAGTCTTGTGGTGAGCCCCCTGTGCAGAGAAGTAAACTAAGGCACAGAGATCAGAGGCAGAGTAGAGAGAGGAGCCAGGATACCAGGGTCCAGTGGAGAGAGGATGGTGATGTAGGATCCCAAAACACAAGGGGTGTTCTGGGGCCCTAGGGGTAATCCTGGTGCTCATCATAAAATCACAGAATGGGGAGGCTCACAGAACCAGCCAAACAGAGATCTTCCCAGACTTGGGCAGGGTCTCCAGATTCCCAGCTGAGGTTCTTCTTCCCAGGAGCAGTTTGAGTTGGTATCCGAATGGAGTGTGACAACGCATCCAGGCCCTGACTACCTCGACCCTTCAAGGATGCTTCGAGGAAACCAGAGCTCCTTCCTTTAGGGCCTGAGGTCCCGTGGGCTGGTGAAGGGCAGGAAGGGAGGGAAACGGGGCTGACTGGATAAACGAGGGTCCAAGGAGGGTGAGGGAAGAGTAGCAGGTAGTGGGGAGGAGCCGCAGGTAGTGGGGAGGAGCCCTGGTCTGGGGAATGCAGGCCCAGCACCATGTCCCCTTTGGTTTTTGGGTCTGTGGACTTCGCAAACTTCAAACACTGTTGAGAGGGATAAGGGGTAAAGCCAGGACAAGCTGTTCTGGAGGCAGTGAGGCCCAGGGGAGAGCAGAGAGGATAGTGGGGTGTCAAATGGACAGACCAATGGATGAATGACCTAGGGAAAGAAGAACACAAGCCAGGCTGCATCTTCTTTACAAACAAGGCTAGGCAGGACTGGGTAGGGTACAGGAGCCCAGAAGGAGGGATTCAAGCCCCCCCCCCAACAATAGTTGACACTGATGGGGTCCTGAGGTTGGGGACAGAGAAGATAATGTGGTTCAACAGTGGACCTAGAAGATGTCCTGCTGGGCTAGGAGGTCGCTGGGGCCAAGCCGAGTGAGAAGGGCTGGCAAGGCTGATGCTCTC